CAGGAGCATCACCCATGCCACTGCTGCTCGTATTCTCCGGCCGCTGCAGCAAACAATTAGGCATGAGCCATCGCCCCAACGCCCCTCCCGTATTCACCGCCGCCCTCGCCTGCTCCTCCAGCGTATTCACCCGATCATTCAGCAAATCCCTCTCTAGTCTCAGCCGCTTCACCTCCACCCTAGCCGTGTCCAGCGCTCGCAAATACTCCTGCGCTTTCTCCACGCTCGCTCGCGCATGCACCTTATCCCCTTCCGTCTGCTCTATCAGCAAAGCTAGTGACTCCGCCTCCTTCCGAGCCTTCTCCGCCCGCTCCTCCGCGTCAGTCACGGCGCCCCGAAGCTGCTTCTCAGCCTCGGCAACCGCCGAGTCCTTCTCCCGCTTCGCGGCAGCCAACCTATCATTCAAGGTTACCACCTGCTTCAGTAACTCGGTAACCGTCGCCTCTTTCTCCTCCCTCGCCTCGATCAACGCCTGATACAACTCCTCCATCTCCCCATCCATCCGAGCAATCTCTTCCCTCAGCGACTCAACCGTATCCTCCTCCTCCCCGTCCTCCCCATACCCACCCTCCCGCCGCCCCTCCTCCCCTTCACCATCCGCCCGTCTTCTTGGGGAAGGACCCCCATACCTCATGCTACGACCGCCCCCTCCTCCTCTGGGGGACGGCCCTCCCCCTGAGTACAGCTGCTCCCTCAACTCCTGTAACTCCTTTTCCTTCTCTTCGATTATCTCATCTTTAGCCCTCGCCTCAGCTGATTTCATAATCAGCTCCATCGCTTTCCTCCTCGCCTCCTCCTCCTTTCCTTCCACCTCCTTCTCCAGCCGCTGAATCTCCTCGCTCTTAGCTAAAAGGTCATCGGTCAGTCGCTTAATCTCCTGCTCCTTAGCTAGCAGCCCCTGGCTCTTAGCCTTCAGTGCGTTCAGCTCCTCCTGCTTCGCAGTCACTTCCCGAGCCTTCGCCCGAACCTCCGCCTCCTTCTTCCGAACCTCCTGCCCCTTGCCTTCCAGCATCACCCGCTGCTGATCCACCTGCATCAGCAGCTCCGCCTCCCTCCTCTGCATCTCCTCTATAGCAGACTCCGCTAAGAGAACAAACCCTGCTGGCACCGCCCCTGTTGCTGCTCCCGACGCCCCTGCCCCACCACCTTCTCCCGCCCCTGAGCTGTTCTCAGAAACTCCTCCCGCACTCTTCCCACCTGCTCCTCCCGCTCCTCCCGCTCCTCCCGAGCTCCCAGCAAACTCTTCTTCTAAACTCGCAAGCCTCTCAGCAATTTTCTCCCGCTTCTCCCTTTCCCTCCGCGCCTCCTCCTCCGCCCCCTTCACCTTCCACGTAACTTCCTCCAGCTCATCCAGCGCCTTCCGAGCAGCTTCCTGCTCCTCTGACATTCTCCCTTCCGCCTCCTTCACCCTCTCCTCAGCCTCCTTCAACTTCACCCAAACCCGGACCACCTCAGACTGCTCCCACTCCCCACCTCCCCCTTCTCCCCCTCCCCCATCCCCCCCGCCCGCACCACCTCCCCTCCCCGCTCGGCCCATCACCCCATCGCGAATCCTATCCACCTCTTCCTCTGCCTCTCTGGCTCTCGCCTCCGCCTTCCTCCATTTCCCTTCGGCCTGTGCCACCTGTCCCCTTAGCTTCGCAACAGCAGTCTCCTTTTCCCGAACCTCTCTCCTGATCCTACTCTTCTCCATCGCCTCCCGATCCGCCAGCTGCTCCCGGAGAGCCTCCGCGGCAGCTTCGGCGCGCCGCGCCCGAGCCTCAGCTTTGGCGAGCCTCTCCGAGGCTGCAGGTTCGGGCTCGTTGCCGTCACTGCCACCACCATTGCTGCTACTGGTATCAGTGGCTGCTGTTGCAGTGGTAGCTGCTGTGGCTCCTTCCCTACCCTCTCTCCCGCCCATATCTGCTAAGTCCTTCACTCTCTCCCTCTCTGCCTTCAACTCCAACTCAACTGCCTTTACTCTCTCCCTCGCTGTTTTCAGCTCTAACTCAACTGCCCCAACTCTCTCCCTCTCCACCTTTACTTCTTCCTCCAGTGCTCTCGCCCTCCCCAACACCTCCTCCTTCTCCCTCCGCCCCTCCTCCACCTCTTTCCTCGCCTCCCTCACTCTCTCCTCCCACTCCCCCCTCTCCCTCTCACTCTCCTCCAACCTCTTCTCAACCCTCTTCCTCTTCTCCTCCTCCCCTTCCACCCTCTCCTCCAATTGCTCCCTCAATTCCCTCACCTCCCTCTCAGCCTGTCTCGCCCTCACCTCTAAATCCCTCTTTTCTTTCTCCAGTTCACCTACCCTAGAATCCACCTCCCCCTCCCTCTCCCTCCCAAGCCCCTCTATCCGTCCCTCCAATTCCCTTCTCCTGCACTCCTCCTCTTCCAACCTACCCTCCATTTCCCTCCTCTCTGCCCTCGCCTCCTCCACCCTCCCCTCCATCTCTCCCAGTCTCTCCTCTAATTCCCTCCTCCTCTCCTCCCCTTCCTCCCTCCTCCTCTCCCCCTCTTCCTTCTCCCTCTCCATCTCCTCAACCCTCCTCTCCAACTCCCTTCTCACTCGCTCTAACTCCTCCCCTCTCTCCTCCACCTCTCTCTTCCTCACACTCACCTCCCTCAACTCCCCGTCTACCTCCTCTCTCCTCCTCTCCTCCTCTCTCCACCTCCCTTCCACCTCCTCCCTCCGCACCCTCTCCTCCTCCCTCTCTCCCTCCACCTCCATCCTACTCGCCTTCTCCCTCTCTAAAGCCACTTCCAACTCACTCACTCTCACTCCATCCCTCCTCTCCCCCTCTTCCACAGCCCTTCTAAGCCCATCAATCTCTCCCCGCGATTCCTCCTCCACCCGCCTCCTTCCCTCCCTTTCCTCCTCCAAGCTCCTCTCAAGCTCCATCCTTCGCTGCTCCAACTCTCCCACCTGCTGCTCCACCTGCCTCCTCTTCTCCCCTTCCTCCTCCCCCTCCTCCCTCACCTTCCGAATCTCCTCCTTCATACGTGCCGTCTCCTCTAGCAAATGTTCCTTCTCCTCCTCGGCTCTCTGCTTCTCCTCTTCCATATCTCGCCTTCCCTCCTCCAGTTTCCTCTTCTCCTCCTCCAACCCTAGAACGGCTTCCCGCAACCCGGCCACTTCTTCCTCTGCACCCTCTTTCGCCCCTTGCACCTCCCTCATCCTCCCCTCCAACTCCTCCTTCTCCAGCACCAGTCGTTCAATCTCGCCCCTCGCTTCTGCCACTTCCGTTTGAAGCACAGCAAGCGCTGACTCCACTTCTCGCGCCTTCTCCTGCTGCTCGCTAGCCTTCGCTTCAAACTCTCCCGCCCTCTTCTCACTCTCTCCCACTCTTTCCTCCATCTCCCTCACTCTCTCCTCTGCCTCCCTCCTCACATCCTCCAGCTCCCTCTCCTTCTCCCTCCCCTTCTCCTCCCACTCCCTCACTCTCTCCTCCAACCCCTTCACCTCCCCCTCCAACCTCCCCACCTCCTCCTCTCTCTCCCTCAACCTCCCCTCCACCCTCCCCACCTCCTCCTCCTTCTCCCGCAACCTCCCCCCCACCTTCCCCACCTCCTCCTCTCGCTCCCTCACTCTCTCCTCCAACCCCTCCACCTCCCTCTCTTTTTCCCCAAGCAACCCCATCGCCTTTTCCAATTCCTGATCCAGCAACCGAATTTCTCCCGCCACCCTCTCTCTCTCATCCTCCACAAGAGCTTCAGCAGCAGCCAACCGCCTCCCCATCTCCTCCCTCCCTCGCTTCGATTCTGCCAGAGTCGCTTCAAGCTCAAGCACCCTCTCCTCTAAGTACCTGCTATCATTCCCCCCTCCCATTCCCATCCCCCCTCCCAGTCCCATCCCCCCTCCTATTCCCATCCCCCCTGTCTCCTCCCCATCCTCCTCCTCCACCTCCCACGGCCGCCGCCCCTGGCTCTTGCTCTCCCAGCCGCCCTGCACTGCTCCCAACCGTGCCTCCAGCTCCTTTTTCTCGCGAATTAAAGCCTGCATTCGCCCGCCGGCCTCCTCCATAGTAGCTACTAGCTCCTCATGCTCAATAATTAGGTCGTCCCGCTCCGCCTCTGCTGCTAACATCCTCTCCTCCATCTCCTCTTTCTCTTTAATCGCATCCGCCAACTTCGCCTCTAGCTCCTCCTTCTCTTCCCTCGCTTTAGTCACATCACCCTCCTCCGCCTCTGCCCCCGCCTTCTCCCCGCTGCCTCGCCCTTCCTTTGAGTCACTACTCTCGTTATAATCACCACCGCTCCCACCACCACCTCCCCCTCCTTTCGCATTCATCTCTTTCTCGAGCTCTTTCAACCTCCTCTCCATCTCCTCTCTCTCTTTCAACAGCTTCGCTCTCTCCCCTCCCATCGCCTCCCTCTCCCTCACCACCTCCTCTCTCTCCCTCCCCATCTGCTCCAACTCCCGCTCAAGCATCCTCACTTTCTCTTCCCACTCCCCTCCCCCTCCCCCACCTTTTCCCCCTGTCCCTCCCCCTCCGCCTCCCCCGTCTCCCCCTTCTCCGCCTTCCCCCACCATACCTTCTAGCCTTTCCACCTGGCGTGCCAATTCATCCGCTACTCTCTCCGCGGCGGCCGCTTTCCCCTCTAAGTACTTCCCCCTCCCCTCCAAATCCTCCACTTTCCCCTCCAGAGTCTCGCGCTTCGCGCTCGTGGAGATTAATCGCCTTTCCAGCTCCTCCTTTTCGGAGGTAATGGAGATTAATCGCTCCTCCAGCTCCGCCCGCGCCACGTTCGCCTCGTCTAGTTTCCTCTGGAGGGCCTCCGCGCCAGACGTGCCACCAGACGCGCCATCGGATGCGGCGTCGGATGCGGCGTGAGACGCGGAGTTAGTTACGGCCGCGTCGAGCTTTGCTTGGAGGGTTTCAGCGCGAGATGCGGCGGCAGTGGCGCGGCTGCTTGCTTCGGCAGCCTCTCGCCGCGATTCGCGGAGCTGCTCCTCCTGACGCGATGCATAGAGCAACCAAGGAAATACGGTTTCAAGAAAACGGCGGGGAAGGGTTAAGGTCGGTTGTTTGTGGTGACTCGGAGGAGGATAAATTTGACAAAGATGCAGCAGAAAGGGGGAACGAAGGGCAGAAGATGGAAGAAAGAGCAGAAAAACGGTATGAGGAGAAGATGGCAAAAAGAGGTAGGTAGGTATGCGCGACAAGGCGCAAATGAGCGCGGAACACCACCCTCATCCTCCCAAGCTACAGAGATTTTAAGCGCATATCACACCACAGCTACAGAGAGTTCAGAGGCACAATTTCAGAGCAACAGATCTTGCCGAACTCGCTCAGGGCAACACAGCAGCGTAGGCTTCAACTCGATGCCCATGCTCAACGAAAAGAAAAGTGTAACCCTACTCGCTAGAGTCACATCGAATCCTCGGCGGTGTAATCTACGCTCACGATTTAATGTCTGCCTGTCTGCCTGTCACACTTACCAGCTCCTCGTTCTTAGCTAAAAGCCGGTCCATCTCCTCCGACTGCTCCGCCAATTCCTTCCGCAGCTCAACCGCTTCCGCCATATCCCCTCCGCCACCTCCCCCTCCGCCGAACCCTCCGCCGAATCCGCCACCGGACATAGGGCTTGGCGCAGATCCCCCCGGAATCGGCGGGCGCGGGGAAGGTCCGGGGAAGGCCAACCCCCCTTCCCGCGCGTTCATAGATCGTGACGCGCTTAAGAACGGTCCGGGGGTTGCGGGCCCCGCGGATGCATCTCGACCGTTGAGTAACGACGAGCCGTCTCGGAAGGAACGGGAAGGGCCTAAAGACGGACCCATCGCGCGATTGGTTTGGGATAAGGGAAGCTCATCGGCGGTTCCACGTGGCGTGCTGGAGCCGACACGTGGCGTGCTCGCAGCGGAGCGCGGGGTGCTGGCGTCGCGGCGGGGAGTGCTAGGGATGGATCTATCCCTGTTGTGAGCTTTCTTCAGATGCTTCGATATCGCTCCCGTCATCGTGTTACCAAGTTACCGAAACAACGTCACACGGTCACCGTAACAAGATCTTCCGTAACGAAAGAACCGAGGTCAATTGGGTAACATCCTACAACTATGGAAAGGGAAGCCTATCTACTATTATGTCGGTATCTGCTGTGTTATGACAGCATGATTAACGTCCTCTATAAGACGAGCTTCAACACCGTTATTAAGGTGAAACGGACGTGGAAGGGGTTGTCCGGAGGCGAACCCTAATACGTAAAGGTCATCCAGGGAATACAAAGCTGACATTCCTAACCCTAAAAAATCAAACTATAGTAGCAGTAGGACTTATGCTCCTGGTAATTCGTCCCAAGGAGATGGAAAGCGCAGCGATGAGGAATCGTTACATCGAGGTGTGTCAGAACATAACTACGGCTGACGTCACAAGTGAGGCCAACGGGATGAAGTCTTGTCTGCTAAACGACATGACACGCGACGATCATCTTGCTATTGAACTACATATTTGAGCAGACCGTCAAATCACGGACAACAACAGACGCGCTTGACTCTCGGAGGCTTACTAACGAGAAGTTCCACAAGATGATTGGAGACTCTAATGTCATCGAATTGCTAATGCACTTGGCATGATTGCGTGCACCCGCACAACCTAACCTCACGCAGAATCCGCCATTGCCGTGGATTTCCAGAAAAGTCGAATGCACAGCTGCAGACTGTTGCAGTAACTGAAGAACTGCATACCTTGGTTCGTTGTGGGCAGTCTTGGCATGGCATGGATGGCAGCCATTCCTGCAGCAAATAGGTGACTCGAAAGCACAGGATTGGCTGGGAACTCATCTTAGAAGCCTGAAAGTATGTTCAAAATCCGTGTCTCGTTTTCGCAATCAGTTACGTACGCTTCAAAGGACGAGTTACGTTCGTCTCATGGTTCAGATAGTCAGGGGTTACCATTTGTGTTACGTGTACGAAATCGAGTTGCAGCTTTCGATCCTGAATGGGTATGAACCTCCAAAACAGAAAACGCTCTTCAGGATTCATCGTTTTCAGTAGTTCACGCCCGCCCTGCACACAACCTTTTCCTTCTAACAAGGGCACCATCCATTTTCCGGGCAGTTGCCATTCTTGGGCAAAATAACATGAAACTTATATTTTCTATCACAAACCTTAAAAAAACTCCTAAGATGTGTCTTTCTTTAAAACTCCCCATACCTCACTTGAAAAGGTGTCACTAATCATGGCCTTAGAAACTAGGTTAGAGCAAATCAAGAATATGACTATATGACAATGACCATAAAGTGTGCATATTTCTTATCCTTAACGGGAGTATTCACCGGCAAGCCTTGATGAGATACGTTACAGGGAGTGGGCTAAGAGATTTTGAATCAGCCAAGACACACGAAGATCGTCTGCTACAAAAGCTAGGCCTTTTTGCCGTCATGATGCGTTATTCGGGCCGTTGTTGTTTTTCTCTCTCTATTTTTTTATTTTTCTTTCCTTTTCTTCTTCCTGTTTGGCCCTGCTCCTGAAATATACTTGACGGCCAGTATGAATTGAGCAAGAATGAGTTTGAGAAGATATCAAAATACATTTGAGAAATGAAATTGGGAAAGCTTGGCTGAACTTACACTGTACTCTGTTTAGGGTAAAATATATTAAATGAACCTAACGTTAGCCCTAAAGTATAACTTGCTCCATACATGGCAAAATAATGAGACCACTAGCCCACTCAAACTACCGCCCTCACAAGTATCCTCCAATATGCAAATTGATCAGCCGCGGAGAGGAGGAGAAAGAGGGTTAGCTCAGTCGGTGGGAGCAACCGAAATAGGGGAGGGGGAAGATCAGGGTAGAGGTGACGTGCAGAGCGAGACTGCAATTGAAGAAAATATGAGAGATGTGACGAAATGTATTTACACATTTATCTATAGATTGCATAGACCTTAGTGTCGCCAACTTTTGGTGGTGCACCATTTGTGCATACCTCGACGCCGCTGCACCTGCCATCGTTGCACATGCCGCCGCTGAACTTGCCATCACTGCACCTGCCGTCGCCGCACCTGCCGCCATTGCACGTGTCATAACCGCACCTGCCGCCGTTACACGTGTCTGTCAGGAGAATGAACGAGGAATGGATGAACTAGCAGCATGCAGGGGTACAAGTAGTAAACCCTAATTGGGTTGTACCCCATATGGGCTACCCTACTACAGCCTACACAACATGCAGCATATATAGTTTGACAAACCCCCATAGGCAAAGTGGGGGAGAACAAGAGGTCACAAGACCAGTCAAGAAAAGCAAAGCAAGCTCAGGGTGGATCACAAAGTCACAATGCATTCTGAGCACAAGCAAATGGCAACAAGGCTAGTTCACATGCAGAGTTGCATAAAAGAGAACAAGCAGTACAGTGATCATAACCTAGCAAGTGTAAGCATGCAGGTGGTATAAGTATATAGATCACAGTACAAGCAAAGTCAAGAAGTGAGCAAGTGAGGCCAAGTAGGCACAAGGCCTAGAACAGTACAGAAGCGCTGATGATCACAAGGCTGAAGTGCCTTGGTGAAGATATCAGCAGTGTTGGCCCGAGTGGCCACGTAAGCAAGACGAAGCTGACCACGCTGCTGCAACTCTCGAGCAAGGAAGTAGCGCAGAGCGATGTGCTTCGTTCTGTGCTCCAGTCTGTGCTCCTGACACAAGGCAATCATGGCCTTGTTGTCGACGTACAGAAATGGAGGAGAACGAGGCGGCTCTCCCAAGTCGGTTAGCAGGTAGGTGAGCCAGCGTAACTCCTATGCAGCCATGGCCCCTGCGTAGATCTCAGCCTCACAACTGGAACTGAGAACAGAAGACGAGCGGGTAGACCGCCACGAAACAGAGCCGGAGCCAAGGCTGAAAGTGTAACCCTGTGACGACCACTGCGTAGCCAAGTCGTCAACCCAAGAAGCGTCTGCGTGACCAGTGAGGACATCTCGAGCCCGTCCTCCAAGCACGAGCCCCATGCCCGACGTACTGCACAAGTAGCGCATCACCCTCTTAGCGGCCTCCCAGTGCTCTGGTCGGTGTCTCCCGGGCGCAACGTAGCGTGCCAGGATGCTAAGAGGGTAAGCAAGGTCAGGTCGAGTGTAGGTCATCAGGTACATGAGGCAGCCCACAAGCTCTGGATACGGGCCACTCGGCTCTACGGACTCATCCGAAGGCAGAGCTGAGAGCGAGTGACCGGTAGGCAGAGGAGTGGACTGTGGCGAGAAGTATGTGAAGCGAAAGCGCTGAATGACCTGCTGCACCATGTGTGACTGAGTCAGGGTAATGGTGCGTCGTGCTCAGTCCCGTGTGATCTGCAAGCCAAGATAGCTGCGCAGCTCTCCAAGGTCTGTGCACGTGTGTCTCTTCTGCAGCTCCGACTTCACGTGGGCGAGTCCCTCAGTGTCAGCAGTGGCAAAAACCAAGTCGTCGACGTACACGAGGATGTAGAACGGCAGCAGCGAAGTGTCGGTGCGCAGAAACAGCGACGGGTCCTCAGTGTGTCGTGCCACTCACGAGGCGCCTGGCGGAGACCGTAGACTGGCCGCCGGAGGCTCCACTGGGTACCTGCAGGAAACGACCCAGTGAATCCAGGTGGGCGGCACAGCCAGATCTCCTCGTGCAGGCTGCCCTGTAGGAAGGCTGTGCTGAAGTCAAGAGAGTGAAGCTCGTAGTCACGCTGAGCGGCGACGTGCAGCAGCACCCGAAGAGTAGTCATCTTCGGGGTAGGGGAAAAGGTCTAGAAGAAGTCAACTCCCTGTCACTGACTGAAGCCTCGTGCAACGTAACGCGCCTTGAAGGCAGGCGGAGAACCCGGCGGCCGCTTCACCATGAAAATCCACATGCCACTCACGATCTTCGCCCCAGGTGGGGGAACCTCGTCGACGTAGGTGCCCGTGGACTTCCAGGATGCCATCTCTGTGTCCATGGCTGTCTGCCAGTGAGAGGAGTAGGGACCCGAAATCGCCTCTGCGTAAGAGCGCGGGGTCGGGATGTCTGGTGCATCCGGGTCTCACTGAGGTGCAATCAGCATGGACACGAGATGAGGTACAGCAGCTGCAAAACACTCAAAGTCCTCCTGCCTGTCCTCAAGGACGTCCGTGCCAAGAGCACACTCACCCTCGACGGACGGAGGACAGACAGACTCTGACTCAGCAACAAGACTAGTGGCGTAGTCGAGACGACAGCGAGCAGCAAAGTCGACAAGCTCAGCAACTAAGGCAGACGCAACAGTGGACTCAAAGGAAGGGTCAGTGACAACAGTAGCTAGCAGACGCGTGACAGTAGGGCTGGCAGCACGAAGTGAGTCAGACTCCGGGTCCGGACCGTTAGCAAGGGAGGATGCAGGAGGAGAAGGGATAGGGACACGCAGTGGAACAGAGGAAGGACGAAGAGCCATCTGGTGCGTGTCGGGGACAGGAGGAGGACGCTGACGCGGAACACGACGACCAGTGCGAACAGCGCGAACAGGCGACGCAGGATGAGACGCAGGCTCATGACGCTCTGTAAGAACTCCGGGCTGCTGAGTGTAAGGAGAAGGAGCCGGCAGTGGGGAGGCTGGCAGTAGCTGTGGCTGTGACAGGTCGGGCGGAGGACACAGTAAGGGAGGCGGAAGGCCAGAAGA